CGTGGCCACGCCTGAAGCAGCAGGCCGGCGCTCCCTCCAAAGCGCTCCCCGCCCCTCCCCCCCCCCCTCTCATGCCATGCGCGCCCCGATGCCACGCCACGCTTTTTCACCTCCCCAGGCGCAGCTGAAGAACGAGGTTAGCATCCCCGGCCTCAACACTGCGATAACTGAGGTTGAGGTTTCCAAGGAGGCCAAGTTGCGCAAAATTGAGGAGACGGAGGCCATAAAGCGGCGGCTGCTCGAGCAGGACGCGGGATGGTGAGCACTCAGGCCCGGCTGGTGCTTTTTTGGGGTGGGCTGGGGGGGGGGGGGGCAGCCGCGAGCGGGGCTGCGGAGTTTTGGGCCACACTGCTGTAGACCAGGATCCAGGATAGGGGCCGAGGGGGCCATTTTGGGGGGAAGCTGCAGTTTGAAAGCCAAGCGGGAGGCCGGGGGTTGGGGGGTGCGGCTGACGGCTGGAGGCGTTTTGGCGGAACCGAGGCCGAGCGTGGGGCGGGCGATTCTGCAGGGGGCGGGTGCTGCCTGAGGTTGGGTCGCGGGTGGTGGAGCGCAAGAATGGGCCGGCATCAGAGCGGCGGAGGCGAAGCGCGTCCCCTCAGCCGAAACCGAAGGAAGGGTTGCTCCTCGACAATTTCCTGCGCCGCGCCCCGTCTCCCCGTGCCGCCACCCACGTCTGACCCACCCTCTGCACCCCCAATCTCTGCGCGACCGCCTTTTCAGGGGCGGCGACGTGGGCCCCGGCGACGCGAAAGCGGGCAAGGTCCACCGCGCCTCGTTCGTGCCCCGGTTCGGGCGGCAGCTTCCCAAAGTGCAGCTGCCCGCTGACGTGGACCCCGAGGAGCTGGAGAGGCGGCGACGCTTCGTCAGCGAGCGGACGCCCGACCCCCGGAAGTTGAAGCAGCAGCAGTTGCAGCAGCAGAGGGGCGGCGGGCGGTAGCTGTGGCCAGCGCGCCTGGCCAGGGGCCGGGCGCCGCGCCGCGCGGATGGCGTTCCCCGCGTCTGCACGTCTCTGGTCGGTGGTTTTTGCAGGGGTTTGTTTGCAGCGTCGTCAACGCTTCTTTGTGACATCCCATGATATCATTTGTGTCGCCCGGGCATTTCGCCTGCAACTGCCGGCTGCCGTGTGGCCGTCGCCCCTTCACCGTCTTAGGCGGTGCTGCGGCGAGCCAGAGCTGTCCATCGTCGCCCGCACCCTTCTCGCTTCTTTTTCCTTGCGGGCTGCAATACTGCCTGCCTTGCGGCTTTGCACCCCGACGCCGGGCCGCGGGCCTCGGGCTGCCCAATCACATGCACCGCTCCTTGCACACCAGCAACCGTAAATCGGGCGCCGTCATGGATGAGGGGGGGCTCGGCAGGGACGTGTGATTGAGCAGGGCTGGGCGGATGAGGCCGTGCGGCTGTGTTGGCCCCCGCCAAAATGTGGCCGGGGCCTGTCAGCCTGCCAGATCATGCTGGTATGGCTCGCGCTGGCAGGAGGCCGACGCAAAGAGATGGATGCAACACAGGGGATTGCAGCAAAGGCTCGAAGCAGCAAACAGGGGTTGAAAGAAGACAAGATGAGCAGGCAACAAAGCGCAGTCGCCCCGACTCACCCCTGCCCCTCTTGCTCGTCGTCGCCGCTCCTGCCCCCCTCGCCCCTCGCCCCCCGCCCTGCGCGCCCCTCTGCCTCGCACGCGGCCAGGTCGGCCCCGGCCATCCTAGTCAGCGCGGCGACCGCGTCCGCGTCCGAGGGAGCCTCCCAAAGCGCGTCCGCGATGGCGAGGTGGGCAGCTTCCTGGTCGCAGCGCAGCAGGCGCTCCAATGGAGGCAGGCCCTCCTCGGTCTCCCCCACCTGCGGCGCACGCATAGTGCACAAGTTGGCAGCGCACGGGCGGGATCGGCACACGGGAGAGTGCTGCATGGGCGCTTGATTCAGCCGCTGTAGGGCGGCGGCCGTCAAACACACATTCACCCACTCCTTTCTCACCGCTCTGATATGTCTCGCCCAAGTGCACACGCATGTCCACACACGCGCACGTCTGAACCATAGCACACACGCAAGCACATGCAAGCGTGCGCGGACGCATGCAAGCGTTCGTGCGCGCACGCATGCGCGCACTCACACACACACACACACACACACACACACACTTGTACTCACACACACACACACACGTACACACACACATGCGTGCACACGCGCGCGCAGCCCACCCGGGGGTCTGTTAGGTCAATGCGTGTGGCGATGAGCGGGTACTGACGGCTGGCCTCCGCGTACTGGGAAGAGGGGAACGCCCGGTACCTGTGGCGGTGTAGGGGTATGACAGCGGATGGCGTCACACTCTAGGCAGAGTCAAACTGTGCGTGGCCAGTAATGAAGGGAGCTAGGAATGTCAAATAATCAGTCAACAGTGGGGTGGGGTGGCCTGCAATTTAAAGCTGCAGTGCGAGGTGGGTCCTGGCTGAAGCGAGGCGCTGAATGCTTGACAAGTGACTCCCAGGAAGGGGACTAGAATCACGCACACCTGTGGAACCAAGCAAAATGCCAGGGCAGGAAGTAGAACGCCGACTTCTTGCCGCGCGCGTCGTCCCTAGTAAATGTGTTGGGGATTGCATCCCATGGGGAAGTGAGTTGGCGCGCAGCAGGTCAGGGGTGACATGCGGGCGGGTACGGGGGAGGACAGGTAACGCGCGATGACGTCAGCAAGCCAAAATGGGATGGAAGGATCAAGCCGGGCCTTGGCGATCACGGATGAGCCACACCTTGTGCCCGCCACCACTGCCGGCCCGATGAGCGTCGACGGCGCTGGTGAGGTGCACCTGAGCCGAGCGGCCCCGCGCAGCGCTGGGCGCCATGCATCCACGGCCCCTCCCCCCCCCCCCTCCGCACCTGAAGTGCTCCTTCATGTAGGCCACCAGCCGGCGGTACACCCCCACGCGCTCCACCGCGTCCAGGGCGATCTCGCGGCCCTGAGGGGGGCGGGGGTTCATTTATGATTGTTTTCAAGGGAGGGGGCCTACATCTGGGATGTGTGTGGTGGTGGTGTGGGCGTTTTTCCAGTCTGAAGGTGGGTTGGGGGTGAGGAGTGTGGATGTTGGGGGGCGTCTGCAACTGTCTGGATGGCCCCGAGTGACGGGGTAAGTGGGTGAGTGCGGCGGGGAAGGCGGGGTTGTCACATAGGGTGGCAGGCACACTGTCCCCCACCCTATGTCCACTCAGGGCGAGGTGTTGGGCGGTCTGAAGGGAGGTGTGGGTGAGGCGTACACAGGCGCAAACAGCTGTCTTGCTCAATAATCCTTGCAAACACACAAAACACACACACACACACACACACGCGCGCGCGCACATGCAAACACAAAAACACACGCATGCGCTCGCACACACAAGCACGCAGGCATGCACTGCTGCACCAGCACAAGACATGCATGTGCATGATCCGTGCCACCCACTGCGATGCCGCATTACGGCCAAACTGCCGCACCTCCTTGTACTCTTGGAACACCCAGGGCTTGATCAGCGCGCCGCGCCCCACCATCAGCGCCGCCGCCCCGTGCGCCGCCGCACGGTCCTTTGCCTCATAGATAGCCAGAATGTCGCCTGGCGGATCGCGCGGTGAGGGTCAGGGTTTGGGGCAGGATGCGTCGAGGTTGCAGGGAGACCCGGCATTTTTGCAGCACATGCACGGCACAGGCGCCCTGATAGGCTGCAGGATGGCCGTGTGGTGAAGACCCGGCAGGGTGATAGTTTGGGGTGGTGAATCGCGCACGCTCTTGGCAGTCTTTCAGAACGGCGTGGATTCGCTCTGATGGTCAAGCGTGTTGGGCAGGCCCACGTCACCGCGGCCGCGCCCAGCCCGTTCTACTGACCATTGCCGATGATCGGGATCTGTCGCGCGACAAAGGGTGTGCGGTGCGTGGGTGAGCGGCAGTGAGGAGTCGGCATGCAGAGAGTTTTGCATTTTGCTTCGGCGCGTGCGATCGTGTGCGCGTAGCGGCCAAGGCGGCGCGGCGCGGGTTGTTTTCGCATCCGCGCCGCGCCGCCGTCGCGGCAGGGCGTCGCGGCAGGCCGGCCGGGGGCGGTCACGCACCTTGCGCTCCGCCGCCACCCCCGCAATGAGGCTCCAGTCGGCGGCCTTCTTGTACCTGATGTGTGGGATCAGATCAGTCAAATATACACTGGAGTGAGACAGCATAGGTTCGATGTCAAGCACAAGCCTCGCAGAAAGGCCGCACAGTCAAAATGGGACATGCCACAGCTCTGGGCGCCGCCCCGCCAAGCACCCCCCGGCACGCACGCTCCACGCGCCCCACCCTCACCGCTGCTCCATGGTGCGCCCGTGGATCGTCACCGCCGCCGCGCCCGCCGCCTCCATAAGCGCCGCCACCGCGCTCGCGTTGATCTTCGACTCGTTCTCGCCCGTTCGAATCTTGACGGTGACAGGCAGATCTGAGCCGGCCACGATCCCCGACACGAGGCGCGCCAGCTTGGTTGGTTTGCGCAGCAGCACGGCCCCCAGCCCGCGCCGGGTCGCCTCTATGCACACAGGGGACGCGAGTCGCGTCGCAGTGGAATGTCAAGGGACAAGCGGGATCTGGATGTCAGATTGGATTCAAAACCATGGCGTCCTGACCCCCCTGGAGAATCAAGGCAGCCTGTAGTGCGTACAGGGCGGCTGGGCCCATGCTCAAGCAGGTATGGTGCTGGGGCCTATGCGTGAGAGATGGACCGCCGGGCTGCAGCCCCTGGTGTAACCGGGGTAAGGAGGGGGCTGAGGTGCAGGGTTTGCCCCCAACCACATGCACGTCAACATTCACACACACACACACACACACACACACACACACACACACACACATGCGCACACGCGCACACACACACACACACGCAACTGGTTTCATGCTTCGGAAGGATGAATGGCTGCTGCAAATCCTCACCAGCCCGCCACGCCCACAGAACCTCACCTCTGATGGGGCACCCGCAGTTGAGGTCGACAAAGCTGGCCCCTGCATTGATGCATGCACATGCTTTGTTTTCCGGTTGATGCATGGCTGCACTGCGTGGCTGCAGCTCGCTCGCGCGCGGGCTCAGGGGGCGCACAGCGCTGCGCTGCGCGGCGCGGCGCAAGAATCAGCACACAAAGGATCCTGGCAAAGAAGCTACCCGGCAGCTGCCCACCGGCTTCCTTGGCGAGCTTGGCGGCCGCCACGCCCTCTGAGATCTGGTTGGTGGCGATCTGGACCCCGAAGCACGACTCATTTGGGGCTTTGACCAGCCGGGCGCGCTCCACACGATCACCCCTGGATTTACAGGATTGGACGGGTTGCAATTTTCACCAGAGGCTGTTCTGTACTTAAACGCCGTGCTGTCATGGTTGTACCAACAACATGCGACGCATCGGTGCCGCGGACGCCCCCCATGGCCTTAGCAATGGCCGAGCGCGACGCACGCATGCCCAGCCGGGTTCAGTGGCGCTGCCCTGCATGCATGCATGCATGTGAATGCTTGGATGCGGCCACTCACTTGACAAGGCCTCGTGCGAACGCCATCTCTCCGTACGCGACGTCGCAGCCAAAGTCCGCGCACAGCCTGTACGCGGCGCGGCGGAGCGGCGCAAGCATGCTGCTCACCAGAGTGCCCCCGGGTGTGGGACAGTGTGCGCCGCGCGGCCAGCGAGCCAGCGCCACGGCTGGCTTTGTCGGGTTTTGGCGGGAAACTAGGCCCCAGCACGGTTGACTTGTTCTTCATGCAGGGCCTCTGACAGCTGCTGCAAGGGGGAGCAGCTGGGCTCACCGGCGGAAGGGCACGTGGCAGCCGCGGGTGAGGGGTGCCAGTATGAGCTTGCCCTCGATCTTGGACTAAGTGTGTGTTGATGAGTGTGTGTGCGTGTGAGTGTGTGCGTGGGTGTATGAGTGTGTGAGAGTGTGTGTATGTGCGTGGGCACACGTGTGTACGTGTGCACGCGTGTATGTGTGTGTGTGTGTGTGTGTGTGTGTGTGTGTGTGTGTGTGTGTGTGTGTGTCGTGTGCAATGTGTGTGTGTGTGTGTGCGCACACATGTGAGCGTAATGGGAGGCAGGACGATGTTTGACGCTGGCGTACGTGCGTGCGCTGAAGCCAACTCCATCAGCTGCCTCAGCCCCAGCCCGCCACACGTCACTGGGCCGATCCTTTGCCTTGTGCTCACCCGCAGCTCCGCATTCCGCTCCAGCACATGGGCAGGGATGGGTGGCGGCTCCCAGGCCGTCTGCGGTTCCCGTGGCTGCCGGCCCCTTTGGCCGCCGCCGCCGCCCGCCAGGTCGTCATTTTCAGCCGCAACATCTGTGATGTCGCTAGTGCTGGGCTCGGCATCGGCTGCGACACTGCTGGCGGCGCAGTGCATTACCAGCTGCTGCGGCTGCTGCGAATGCCAACGTGGCAGCTGCGCAGGGCCGCGCGGGGCGCGCCACGGCCGCCCACATGAGTGACTCGAGGTGAGTGCATTTGCTTTCATATGCACGGCCTGCAATGAGGCGCGCGACTGCATTATTGTGCGTCTTTTTCAAACAATGCAGCCCAGCAACGATCTGGACGCGGGCACGGAATATGGCATGCGATTAGCGTATGTAATCGAGGTAAAACCGGTGGAGGGTACGGGTGGGGACAAGATACCCCATTCGCTTTGAGCACACTGCTGCTTGCCACATCCAGGCGCACTGTTGCCTGGCCACATCTGTTCGTGCTGTGCGTTCGGTACTATGCTGGTGACCTCTCCAGATGCCCAATGGCAATTCACCCTCCCCACTGTATGCATGCTACGACTGATATAGATAGGTTAGTATGATGAAGTCAACGAAGGCCGCGCCAATGGCTGTTTGGGCTCAACGCACTACCGTAGTGCAAGGCTGCGGGCTGACATGCACGCAAAGAAGCTGGAGGCACCCGCAGACCCTGCTAGGCGTCCCCGCGTCAGAATTACACAAACCATGCGAAGAAGCTGGGGGGGGGTACAATATCTTAAATGCAGGCTGCGTCCGCAAGGCCACCCGCCCTGTGCCTAGAGTACTGCACCGTGCGGTAAGCAGCAGCGACGCCCAACCACACCAGACTTGCAACTCGCGATTGATCCACATCAGGGGCGCGTTTGCTTGACAGCTTTCACAGTATCAAGAAATATGCTTGAAATCTCAAGGCAATCCCTGCACACCAGTCCAACAGTCGCCAAGCCAGGACAAGCTACACATAGGGTTTGGCGCCCCTGCAAGCAGGGCGGCAGAGGCAACGGTCTCCTCAAAACCCAAGGTGGCCTCTGTAAACCTAGGAAGCCCAACGCTCGTACCTGAAATGTCTGCCATGTGGCAGTCGCTCTTGCACTGAGCACCATGGGCAACATGCCGTTAATTGCACACTCACAGCAACACAGCTGCTGACCTGCTGGCGGGTGCAGTGCTGCTTGCACACCGGGCAGCTGGTGCTTTTCACAAGCCCCTGCAAGAGAGGGCACCAGATCGCAGGGGAACACCCTCATTCTGCAGGATATCAAGAAGGGCCGCCGCAAATCAAAACAAGTAGGCATCAGCCTGGCGGGCGCAGGCGTTGTGTCGACAGGAGGCCTTGGATTGCAAGATAAACGAATGGCGCGGTGCCGCCCTGGAACAACGTGGTGCCCAACCGATTTGTGACCAACGGCGGCTTATTACCGTGTGGCTTGCAGTATGCCGTTGGTGACGGAGGTGACAGCAGTCATGCATGTATGCATAGCGCTGTATGAGTGACACTATGCGATGACAAGGCCCTGCGATGACAAGGCCCTGGAAAGCAAATATGCACATCCATCGCAGGCGCGCCCAGGACAGTGTGCTCATCGATCTCTCCAAGCAGCTGGCCCCTCAGCAGATGTTTAAATGAGTGGAGCACGCTTGAGAGGAGTGAGTCACCAGCATTGCAGCGGCTTCTTGACGGCGCATGCACGAAGCGGGCATGATAGCAGTGAGGAGCCGACATCGTTTGACCTTGGCCGTTGACCACCCGCTGCGCCTGGCGAGGTGGCTGACGTGTTTGGTGCAAGCTATCTTGTGGGGTGATTGAATTCTGTGTGGTGTGCATCCGGACCTACAGGGAGGGGTTGGGAGTTGCCAACAAGCCAACCCCCCACGGGTGCAGCTGCGACGCCGATCAGGGCGTGCCGATCGGGCCTGCTGATGGTGACCGGCAGCCTCAAAATCTGACGGCTGGCGTCCGAGTCCCAGATTCGAGAGCCCAAACGTGCTTCGTCCCCTCGCATGCATAACAGTCCCCACACTACAGTAGACCACCGAGATCTGGGCTTCCCTGGCCAAACACAGTCAGCTTGCTCATTTGCCGAAGGATCGTGCATACCCCATTAGAAAGCTGTGATTGTTAGCATGTTAACCATTACAGCACCCCGAGCGTCTCCGCAGAGCAGCATCGAATTTGTTCAACGTCGTTGCCGCGTCCTCGGTGCCGTTCGGGAGCGTAATAGACGAACATCAATCGCTTATACGGCGCCGCTTTGGCGAGGTGGCGGGGCGGCCGGCCGGTCAGGTACGCCCGCCGCTGAAGCACCAGCAAAAGCAGCGCAAGCAGCAGCACTTTCTGTGCTGTCGAGGTGGCTCAAGCATGTGCGATTGCTGATTGGTCCCAAATCCAATATCGAGGCGTTTCGACACAATCTGTGTTGGCTGCACCATTGCAGAGCAGCTCGGGGACGCCTCGATCGCTCCGCCCGCATTCCCTGGCAACGCACACTGCCCCGCCCGCAGGCGCGCCCCCCGGGCCCCACGGCCCGCAATCGCCGGCCGCCGCCGCCGCCGCCGCGGCCGGCGAGGCGTCCCTCGCGCCCGCCATGCACCGCCACTCCTTGGACGGTGTGGACGCGCCGCTCGCGCCACCGCCCGCCTTCTCCTTCGGCGCGCGCGGCGGCGGCGGCAGCAGCAGACCCTCGGACCCTGCGGGGCCTGGCCAGGCCGGCGGCGGCAGCAGCGGCCGCGGGCCGACCGCATGGCCCCTCGTGGTGCGCCCCCGGCGCGCTCGTAGGGCAAATCAGCCTCGGCGGGGCCGCCTAGTTGGAGGGCAGCTCTGAGGGCAGCCGCCCGGTCTGCATGGGCCGCCCTGGTTCCCGGCAGAGACGTAGGCGACCGCCCCCAAGAAACAGGCAGGTCAATCCTCTTGATTCAAGAAAAGAGGTTGCTGCTCCAAGCCGCCGACGCGGCGCGCACTCCCCCCCTTGCTTGTCGTGTGCCGCAGGTCGCGCTTGCGGCGGCCGGCATCGTGATCTGTTATGCTGACCGGTCAAACATGTCGACGGCGATCATCCCCATGTCTCAAGACCTGGGGTGGGACAAGGCCTACCAAGGCGTGGTGCTGTCGGCCTTTTTCGCCGGTTACGCCACCACGCAAATTCTCGGAGGTGCGCGCGCGCACGCTGCCTGCTTGTGAAAGCGACCGGGGGCGGTCGGCGGGACGCGTTTCCCCGCTGCGGCCGGCGCACTGCTGGCGGCCGAGGGGCAAGGTGCAAAGCTGCCCCCCCGGCTGCCCGCATCGCTGCCTGCCGATACTAGGAACGCCCCGATCGAGCCGCCCCGCCGTCCCCGCATCAGCCTCTCTCCCTCCTGTGTGTTGCGCCGCGCCGCCGCCCGCAGGCGCCCTGTCTGACCGCTATGGCGGCAAGGCCGTGCTCGCGGGCGGTGTCGCCCTCTGGTCTCTTTTCACAGGCCTCACGCCGCAGGCCGCGGCAGGCGGCGCCGCGCCGCTGCTCGCGGCGCGCGTGCTGCTTGGGGTCGGCGAGGGCGTCGCGTTCCCCGCGGTGCACTCCATCATATGTGAGCCGCGGGGCGGGGCGGCCGGGCCGCGCACGGCATGCAAGGCGGGCAGCTGCGTATAGTCCGAGGGAGGCGGCATCAGCAGCAGGCTGCGCCGCCGCTGCCTCGTGACGCCATCGACGGCCACCCTCCAGCACGACAGCGGTCTGCCCCGCCTTGAGTTGCCTCCAAGCCGCCGCCGCTGCTGCCGCTGCTGCCGCTGCTGCCGCTGCTGCCGCTGCTGCCGCTGCTGCCGCTGCTGCCGCTGCTGCCGCTGCTGCCGCTGTTGCCGCTGCTGCCGCTGAGCCTCACCTCACCCCTTTCCCGCCTCTGCAGCCCGCAACGTGCCGACAGAGCGCCAGTCGACGGCCGTGGGCGTCGTGACAGCGGCGTCCTACGTCGGCACAGCCCTCGCGTTTGGCGTCAGCCCGACGCTAATTAGCAAGCTCGGGTGGCAGGCGGTGTTCTACCTGTTTGGCGCCCTCGCGCTACTGTGGCTGCCTGTCTGGTGGCCTGTGCGGGTGAGTGCTCGAAAGTGGGCCAGGCTTGCCAGAGGTGGCTGCAGCTGCTGGGTGCGGCGGCGACCTCATGTGACCTCGTCTGACCAGCCCCAGCGTCCCGACCACAGCTTCCCGAGCCTGCTGCAGTATGGATTAGCCCGCTGCGGTTTGACTGAGTCGGTTGCGGTTTGACCGGGCGATGGTGACGAGGAAGCTGTCGGGGTTGCGGCGCGAGCTTGCCGGTTGTGCCGCGTGCACTCGTCCAACAAGTGGCGTGCGCCGCGCGCCCGGACCCCGCGTAGGAAACGCCCCCTCGCCCGGGCTCTAGCGCCGCCAAGGCGGCGGCGGCCGCCCGGGCGGCGGACGAGGAGGCACAGAGCCTACTCTCCTCAGGCGGCCCGGCGTCGCCTGCAGACGGCGGCGCGGCCCCTGGCGACGCGGCGGCCGGCAAGGCCCTCGGGCGGCAGACGCCGCTCGGCGCCGGCGCCAGCGCCAGCGCCGCTGAAGGCGGCAGTGCGTCCACGATCGCGACCCTTCGGCTTCTGTTGGCCCAGCGAGAGGTCTGGGCGATCTGCCTTTGCCAGTACTGCCAGTCTTACGGGATGTACGGCCTGCTGACGTGGCTTCCCACCTTCTTCAGCGATTATTACGGGGTCGAAGTCGGGGACCTGGGCGGATTTACGCTGCTGCCTTACGTGGTGCAGGTGGGGGGCGGCGCAGATGGGGCTGCGCGGCACGCATGCGGTATCATGCGGCGTAATGTGATGCCACGCAGCGTCATTCGGTTTTCCTGATCGTCGTCCTGGGGGCTTCGGGGCCATGCGCAATGATTGAGCCTGGCGGACACGCCGGCGGGGCAGAGCTTGGTGGGGGCGAGTGTTTCCATTAACTCCGATGATGTGCGCCGCACCTGCCCAGCCGCCATTGACTGCTTGTCTGCGGCTGTGGCCTCCACAACCCTGCAGGGCGGGGTGGGCGCCGCGTCCGGCGCGCTGGCCGACAAGATGATTGCTTCTGGGTGGGACGTGCGCCGAACGCGGGTGCTGCTGCAGGTGGGCGGCCTGTTGACCGCGCGTTGACCGACCGTTGACCAAGCGTTGACCTGACGCGCGCACGAGGGCTCCTGCGCACGCCCTCTGCGGGGCAGTCAGGGCGGGCCCCTGACCGCCCTGATTGCGCATGCGTGCCTGCGTTCTTTTGGCCCAGCTTACACACAGGCCCTCGCGCGTCGGCAGCATGCTCGCCATGGAGCCCTCCGATTTCTGTGGCGCCCTTCAGTCCCGGACAGCTCCCTGTGTGCCCTGCGTCGCCCACTCACACCCCGCTCTTCCTGAACAAACACCACTGCGTCTCACTGCATAAGGCTCTGCCAGCGATGAGGGGAAAACCTTTGAAAGCAGCAACCCCTGATCTGCACCAGGGGATGATGTCCCTAGCTTTGCTGCTAAAACCCTAAAACCCTGCATACTCAACCTCGAACCACATAGAATCACCCTATACCCCGAACCCCGGCCAGGTCGTCGGCATGCTCGGCCCCGCCGCCTGCCTGCTGCTGGCCGTCTCCCCCGGCCTCGGCATCGGCGCCACGTCAGCGTCGGCGCTCATCACCCTGGGGCTCGGCCTGTCTGCGCTGACCCTCGGCGGCGTCAGCGCAAACCACCTCGACATCTGCCCGCGCCACGCGGGTGCGCAGCCGCGCGCCCGCGCCTGCCCCTGCGCCCGCGCCCCGCTGCCTTGCAGGGGCCAGGAGCGTCCAGCTAACACGCTTGCCTGGAGCACTTTGCTCTCGTCCTGAGGGGCGGGCCGCGCGCCCGGTTGGTCCGCGCGGCAAGCGCCCGCACGGCCAGCGCCGACCGCCTCACGACGCGCCAGCCCACTCCGACATCTCCTCCATTTCGAGCAGCTCCCTTGCCGCACTCACCCTGCCCTCCCCTTGGAAATTTACACACACGCGTGCCGCGTGCGCGCGCTCCAGGCATGGTCTTCGGCGCCGGCAACACCGCCGCGACGCTCGCCGGCCTCGTCGCCGTACCCCTGACGGGCGTGCTGCTCGACAGGACCGGCTCGTGGGTGGCGGTGTTCAGCGTGGTCGGGGTTCATTACCTGGCGGGATCGCTCGTGTGGGCCGCGTGGGCGGGCGGCAAGCAGCTGCCCCAGGACCTCGAGGCGCCCGCCGCGCCCGCGGGCGCCGGCGCGGGCGCGCCTTGAGGCGCGCGGCGCGCGGCGTGGGACTTCGCGTCCGGCGCGGCTCTGCTGGGGCGGCCGCGGTTGCATGACGACGCGCGGCACGCGATGTTGACGGCGCGCGGCCCGCAATGTTGGTTGGCCCGCACGAGCCTTCCACGACGCACGATTTTCAACAGTCTTCTCAGAACCGCAGTGCCAGACTGCCATTTTGACCTAGATTGAGGTATCTTGCTCAAGGTCTTGTGGGGGTCCGCAAGGCTTAGGGTCGAATTCGTGTCGGCCCTGCCGGCTGTCAACACGACTGCCAACAGCCAGTCCCCACGCCAGCCTTGAGTTTCTGCGCCCAGACCAACTAATTCTTTCATCACATACGGCATGCCGCTCATGTACCACCCCTCACGTCAACGCCAACGCCGGCCGATGTGGGCCACACCGACTGTCTGGTTTCCCGCACAGGGAGGAGCCCGGTCGTGGCGCTCAGCTCTTGTATGCGCTCAACCCAACTCCACTTGTGTTCCCCTGACTTCACTTGTATGCGCGCCCACCGTTTGATGCTTATCATGCTTGTTGCTCTGCTGCACCGGGCCTTGCGTACATGACAGTCACTTGCGCCTGGCATGTGCCTGCTGCAATGCCATTGAAGAGAGGTGACTGTAACAGTTGACAGCAGGGAGATCATGATGAATACTGGGGGATTGTTCGAAACAGGCCAACCGCCGACGGCAAGGATCTTCTCGACAGGGTTGACGGGGGGAACAAGCAGGATACAGCTGATCCAAAGCCTCAAACACATGGGCGTCGCATGAGCAGGGGTGGGGCCACAAGGGGGCCTGAGGTCCATCTCCCTCCGGAAAGCCGGCCGACGCCCGTATGGCAGGGACGCTCCTTGGTTGCGCGGTGCATTTGATGCGCAAACAGGCGTGAACTTGCTCGCTGCGGTGACGCGGCCGGGCCGCTGCTCCAATCAGCCTCGCCGGCCTTCAATGCATGACTTCTGATGTCTGTCAGAGCTACAGGGATGGTGAGAGGGCCGCATCGCGCAAGTGTGCCCCCTGCCCATTTTTGGGTCGTCAACGCGGCGGCCTGACGCAGGACGTTGCATGACGCCGGCTGCCTTGCATGCATGCGCGCTAGCAATGTGAAGCAATTGCACAACTTAATTCCAGTGCAGGTCGTTGACATTTGTATATAGCCCCCGCTGGGCAGGAGGCCAGCAATTACGTACTACCGTAATGGATTCCACCGACACAGTCATGACCAGCCATGTTTTGGTCTTCCTCGACAGGGTGAAGTTCGGCACGTAAGATTTTTTCCAGCTTGACAAAGCATTCAACGCGAGGGCGGACGTGCCGCGCGATCTCTCTTTTGCGGGGCACTTCGTTTCGAGCCGCATCAGGGTTGATTAGACGCAACAGCATGGGATAACCTCCGCTTTCAGAAATATCCTTCGGCCGATAGCGGCTGCCCTGCGAGCCAGGATGGGCAGGGGCCTCTTGCTGGTGGTGGCCCTATTCGCTGCGTCCTGCTGGGCCGACAGCGAGCAGCACAAACAGCGCGAGCCGACGAAGTGGCTAGCGGGCGTCAAATCCAGGCTCCTAGGCGCCGCTCTCGCGCCCCCCGTCGCCGCGGCGCCTGAACATAACCTGGTCGCGCAGGCGCCCGCCCTCAGGCGCCCGCCTCCAGCCGCGCGCCTGCTGCTGCAGCAGCCGCCCGCGCCCGCGGCCGCAGCACCCGACGCCGCGCTGCCAAACAGCACGTTCAGCTTCCCGTCGTCCGCCGAAACGCCGTGCCCCGGGCCGCTCGCGCCCGGCGCGGTTGTGAGCGTCAACACCCCGTCCTGCCTGCTCTCCAGCCTGCCGCCGCGCCTGGGGCGCCCAGGCGCCGCGCTCGTCGGCGCGCCGCAGCCCGTTGCGCTCGGCGCGGGGACGCTGCCGCTCGTCTTCCTGCCCAGCCGGTCGGCGCCGCCGATGGCGGTCGAGCCAGGTGAGCCGCTTCGCCGCAGCGGCCGCGCCCCGCTACGCAAACTCGCCTGCCGAGCAGTATCGAACGCCGCATATACAGCGGTAGCACCAGTGGCCGGGCCGAACTGCGGAGTGACCAAGC